TTTATTATCCAAAATGGGAATATTAAATTTTTCAGGCAGTACAAACAATGCTTTGTGGGACTTCAGCCAACGAAAACGCCATAAAGACTGCATTTATCTGGTGAGAACACTTACAGGCACTTTGACTATTTTGAGCTTATGGTTCAATCTATACAATTTTTTTAACGAATGAATGGCTATAGGTACATGACAAACCGCCGTGGTGGTAACCCCCCAGATCAGAAGGCTCTTGAGAGCAGTATGCATCAGCAGGAACCTGGAACACCTCATCTATCCGTTCTCGGCTTCCAGGTGCTTTCGTAACGAAATTGTTGGCGCTAGTAAAAATCAAAGCTTTTGCTATAAACATCATGAAAATAGCGAAACGAGTTCTAGAGTAAAGGAAATATTTAGCTCCCTTGCATTTATTTAAACTTAGCGTTCAATTTTTGCAGTTTTGAGTATGAAAATAACAAGAGGGCCTAGATATTTTTAATTTTCCAAATGAATAATGGTAATGCCCAAATTTCATTTAGGGAGCTTTCCATGGACGTTCTCTTTGTATGTTATCGGTAACCAGAAGTAAAGCTATCCATAAGGTAAACCACATCTCTGCAAAAGCCATCAAAACAGCATCCATATATGTATGTGAACATTGTAGGTAGACATCCCCGCGTTCGACTGGCCCATTGCCAAATTTCCACGATATAAATATCCCCTGAAGGACAACAAGGCTTACAACGACGCACAGGACAAGGAGTGTCTTCAAGATGTTAGGGAAAAAATTGCAGAGTGGAAGAAAAAGGTTTGTCACAGAATTTCAGCATTTAACTATTGTCCCTCTCAACAATTTTACGCTGAACTTATCTAAGAATGACACGTAATAAAAACGTAATCCTGAAAGGTTTATTTTTTAACAAAAATGTTTTGTGCAAGGTATAAAACTGAGCAAAAGTTGGAATATAAAACATCATAAGGATAATTTTAAAGTACATAACACCAAACTAGGACCAATTTTGTAATATAATGTGGAATTTTTTTAGTTTATATTTGTTTAAATTGCTGTTGATGTATATTTATAAACGTAGTACGTTCTCGTATTCAGCGAAGCCAAACATCATCTATATTCGAGGGATTCAATCTCGGCTGCATTAAGCACATCACATATATCTCT